TTCTGAATTGGACCGACCTAAGTACTAATTTATAATTTCATATCAGGTCAAGCCACTCCCATCCGGTCACATGGGTGGCAAGCCACTCCCACAAAGGAGGCCACACCCACAGAGTAGGTTCAAACAATTTTTGAAACCCACCACTGGAATGAACCTTGTAACATTAATCCCACTTGCCTCTCTCAACCAATGGGTCAAGATAAATGGCTCCAAAGATAAAGCTAGAGAAACACACCTATCGTTTTTCTTAGCTACCAAGGACATTTTCAACCTTTCCTCCACCCTACTTCCTGTCCCCACTGAGCCTATTGTTCAGAAATTAGCTCTGATCCCACTTACTCTGGCCGTCCACATCAGATTCCCTAAACATCTGGTTCTTAGAAGTGAGAGAATGGGAAGTAGTCCTCTTCCCTCTTCAAGTCCTCAATGTTGTGTTTTCATTACAAACAGTACGTTCCAGAAGAACTGCCATCAGCCTGTAGTCAACGAGTCGGGCCCATTTTGCCAACATCCTTGAGTTGATAACTCAGGCCTTGTTTTCTTGGCTGCTACTGGATTCAAGCTGAAGCCGTTGCTTAGCAGCACTCCAGCAGCTGTTGTTTTCTTGCAACTGCCACGCTCTGGTTTCTGGTAGGCAAAGGGATCTCCACCAGCCCCTTCGCATCGTGCATTGAGATCAGGGAGGCAAGAAAATGTCAACGTCTTGCCTTTTCAACTTAATCGTGGGAATGGACTTGTGACGCCAAGGTGCTTTTTTTTTTGGAGGGGAGAGCTACTTGGTATCCTCTGAGCTGTGATCCTTCTGTTAAGAACCAGATTAAATCTTACTCTCGGAGATTATTCTCATTATCATAACTAGTTGTTGGATTTGCCCCTTTTCACCTTCAGACCCTTGGCTTCCTGCTGAGTTACTTCCACAGATTCCGACATAATATTTCATTTCCTAAATTTCACAGCCTCCATTCTCTGTTGATGAACTTGATACGTTTTCATTAAACCCACTGAAATACCCAGCTGAAAATCAATGCCATGGATGGAAGACTGCAGACCATCCTTTGACAAACAAGATTGTAGCTCATTCTGGATTTGGGCTACGTTAACGTGATATAGATGAGTTTGTTGGGAAGGTAAACAGAATCATTTCATGTTGAGGCATGAGACTTAACTTTATGGTCCAATATTTCATGTTGTACACCAGTGATGCCCACTACTGAATAGGGAGGCTCTCCATCCGGTCCCTTGTGCCCTGGTCAACCCCTGTTTGAAAGATTGCAATACATTCTGTATGAGCAGTGTTTCTCAACCTTGGCAACTTGAAGATGTCCGGACTTCAACTCCCAGAATTCCCCAGCCAGCGAATGCTGGCTGGGGAATTC